CATGGTGACGTTCGTGTTCCAAGAGAAAACGGTCACCAGAGCATTCATGCCCATTCCCGACCTTGAGACTAGTGCCAGGAACATGGCACAAATAGATTTGGCTTTTTGTCGGCCGAAGGCTCATGCTTTGATGATTTATTTTGGCTGTAAAGTGTTGCAAGAGACCATTCGACTGGTTCGGTTACATCGGACCTGCTGAATCCAACTCGGGAAGTGGTTTTCACTGCAACACGCATGAGGCTGAACTTCAAGGTGTTGGCGTCCCGCTGTTCGTTTGGCGGATGCTTTCGTAGACTTGGGGTGTTTTGGCCCCGAAACGTCCCGAATATAGATTCTGAAGCTCATCCTCCTGCCGGACATGATTTGAGCTTACAAGAGTTCAGCAAAAGTATGGAGCAAGCTCGGGGTCTAACGCACGCCTGCAACTGTTGAGGCCGTGGTGGATAGTTCGGCGCTCAGTTTTTGCAGAGGGCAGCCCACAACGTCGGGCAACGTCGAAATAATGACGCCACTGATTGCGGTCCAGAAGCTTGCTTTTCGGCACTGCTACTTCAAGCATGAGGGCTGGAAACCGCGGGGTTCCTCTACTGACGCAAAGTTACAAAGGTTTGAAGAGTGGCTGCAAGAGCTCAACTCACAGCATCTCACAGCGTGGCAGCGTCAATTCCCAAATCAAGCGTATCGTGGTTTGGGCTTCGGAGAGTGGATGGCGGTTTTGGCATTGTTCAGGACATGTTCCTGCTGAGGTGCCATAGTGATGGTCCAGACCGTCGAGCAGCTTGTGAGCACTCCCTTAGCTAAACCCAGCCGTGGTTATATGTGCTGGCAGGCAGGGTAAATCACATCCTCGACCACCTGAATTGGACTCTGGGAACTTCAGGTGTTGTGCTATCTGTTTGTAATGGCAACTAGAAGGTATGGAGCTCAACCCTGCTTTTTGGGATGTTTTGCATGTCGCTGCCCGAATTATTCAGAAAGTCGGCCTTGGGCAGCTATAGTCGTTTACGGGTGCGAGCAGAAATTTCGTCCGACGAGAAGCATTGACGCATGGGCATGCCTCGCTGCCCCTGCGAATTCATGAATGGTGAAGACATCCATGTGCATCGTAAAGCTCAGAAGGGTTGGCAGATCGAACACCCTTTGCAAAAGGACAGCTACGGCAAACTTCACCCCAAAGCCTTTCTGGCCTTATGGCAGACAGAAGTCACTTGCAGCACTCTCGCGCCCTAATGGACCCAAAGAGCTTTAGATGTCTCTTCACTGGCCAGCGCTTGCGCATCCAGTATCAATCCTTCGTTCTTTTTGGCATCAGAATCCTGGCGTTTTTGTTGACTCCCTGAGGTTGACTTCAACCTTGTCAGGGACCATGTGTTCGCTCTACCACATCATACATTGGGGCTCCGCTCCTGTGCCCCCATCGTGGAGCAGTAGCGAAGGCTTATACTGGAGCACTTGCCTGTACAGAAGATGATGCAGGGACATTGGCCGATGCCTTGAGACGAGAGCCTCAGAGCATCATGCCTAGAGAACGTTTCCGCAATCTTGTCGTGAACCAGGGCCCTGGCAAAGACCCAGAGAAGCCGCAGCAAGAAGTGGAAAGGCTACACCATGAGTATATTGCCTGGCGAGCGTAAGATTTCAGCTCAAACCCCGCCAATCGGGGATGCATGATTTCTACGTGTAGTTTTAACACGCACGTCTCAGCTGAGCATTGGCGCTCTCACAGCCTGGATGCTTTGCCCCAAAGCTTGGGCTCTGCTGCAGCATGCCAGATGTCATCAACGTCGCCCAATTGCGACGACACGAGCATTACCTAAAATGCCAGCAGAATTCGGAAAAGAGATCAGTTAATTTTCGTCAAGCATCCTCCCCCCAAGCGTGCGACATCTGAAGGTGGCCAGGCACAGACACGCGAACAAAATGGCTTGCCGTCTTCTTGGAGCCTCCAAATTGATAAGTGCCAAATTGAGAAGGTTCAGGGCTTTGAGATTGACGTGATGGCAAACATGTGCGGATCATGCGGATCGTCATATTGGCGTCAACGGCCATCTTTTCAGAAGGCTCTTGGGAGAATGCCTCAAGCGATCTAGTTCCCGCCGAGGCAACAGTCTCGGCTTCAATAAGTGGTAAGAATATTGTCGTTGAGGCCTCGCTAGTGTCATCTTGCTCGCGAATGAATGGCAAGCCAGGGTAGGATGGCTCGTCACAGCGTCGAAGCCTTTGTGGAGATCCACTCTGCTTGACATGCTGCACCTGTCGCGAGCCAAACAAATGCTGATCTACAGATGCCGCAGTGAAGCAGGTGTTTTCCGAACGTTTCAGGGACCTTCCGCCCAACCTAAGCTGCAGGGAATGTTCAGAGCCCAAGTTGCAAAATAAGTTGCACACTGCAGCCATGGTCACAGTAGCAGTCCACAGACAACCCTTAATGGAAGCACTACTTTCCAGACCTGGGGCTAGATAGCTTTCAAGGCACAAGGACGGAAAGAAATTTGTAAAAGTTGTGCTCCTAGCTACAGGTAGGCAATGTGCTAACAAGAAGTTCAAACAGAAGTCAGAGCACCAACGTACTACGTACAGCAGAACAGCCTAATTAATGCTAAGCCCTACCCATGGTTCAGATGGCCAAAGCTCCGGCTCCATCATCAAAGCGAAACACCAGCTAGGACTTAGGGCAAGTTTGGCCGCAAAGAGGCTACGACCCAGAGATGCGCCTCTATGGCGGGGAGGAGATGGAGATCGGCATGGGAGCTCGGATTGGAAATGAAGATTTCAAGGAACCGGTACAGGAAAGTTTGCGCAGATGCAGGTGGCTGCTGGAGATTTATCTTGCCGGGCCCATTCAATCTAACAACTTGTATGTCTGGTGCAGATGTGCCTATGTTTGTCTGTCTCCTGCCAGCGTAATCTCAACAGGGCAGAGGTGCAGAAGGTTCTTGATTGAGCCATCCATACCAGACAGATCAGGCCTGAAGAGACATAACGAGGGGATTCTGGTGAAAATGCTCGAAGCAAGCAAGGTCATGGTCAGTAGGCTGGGCTGAGGCTTCCGAACTTGGATGTCAGGAACTCAGGGGGAGCACAGGACCCGCTTCTGACTGCACATTTCTTACCTTGAGCACTCGGTGTAACACACACACAAATGCACGGATAAAGACCGTGACGATCTTATCTAGGAGGCACCTGACGTATGACGAGCAGAGGAAAGATTTCAAGCAGACATGGCTCTAAGGATGGCATTATGCTCAACAGACAATCTTCCGTACCTGCAGATGTTGAACCTCTGTGGAACATCTGGAAAGCTTGCAAAAGGAGGTACAATTAGTCTGGTATAGTCACCTGCAGTAATCAAGCAAGCAAAGCAGCATGTCTCACGCATGTGAAACATTCTTCTCAACTCATGACTCCCAACGCAAACAGACCGTCATCTCCTGACCTTCTTCTGCTTCTGCTGCGGGATCTACGGTACAAGCGGTATGGAATAGCCTTGGCCGGGACGCTGCGTGAGACTGAGCTCGACCCTTGTCTGATCCGAAGTGCGTTGCGCGGATCGTCCACTCTTGTCCTCATGACTACTGCGGGAAGGATGCCGGGGAAGTGGTTGCGAGGATCGAGATCTCATGAGTCGATCTGCGTCTTCTCTGACAACACGACGGAGTAGCGTCTGAAAAGATTCCCACACTAACTCCGAAGAATCACACATTGCCCACATGGTCTGACTACGATCAATCAGAGCGCGGAACACGTCGTTATTGAGAGGATAAGGTCTGCCGCTCATGCTAACAGCTAACACTATTGCATCTACAAACGAAGGTGATCGAAATCCTAGAAGCCGTCGTCTAAGCTTGAAGCAAAAAGAGGATAGCACCTGTCTGCTGCCCTTTGTTTAAAGCACATGAACATCATGAGCACACACCAAGCCATGTATTGAGCATTCTGCGGCAGCAAAAGTCCTGTCAGAGTCAGGTGAGGATCTGAGAAAGCATGTGTACAATGGGATTATTCACTTTACCCAGGTGTAGCGAGGCATAAGCTCTAATGCAAAAGTGACCGCTCAGCAGTCTTCCTCCCTCGTAACGATGAAAATCAAATGATGATCATCAGATTGTCGAATGAGCTGGTAAGGTCGGAGCATTCGCCCTCCCACTGTCACAGAACGGAAAGCACGTAGCCACAGCGGATACACGAGCTAAGGTTGCAACTGAATGTGAGCGACCGTAAAAGATCACTCGGTCCCTCTCCCGCACAAAGTGTGACAACAACCAAGGTACATGACCCCAAAGCCAATCACGGAAAGCTTCTTCGACATAACGAAAGTTCCTGTCCATGTCATTCTCAAAAGTTTCGGAAGATGTATCATCTTTTTCAACACCTTGAAAAGGTAGCACGGATGGAACTTCCGGCAGCCAAAAGGCGAGAGTTCAGCCTGCCGCGTGGAGATGAACAAGTTTGGATTTAAGGCTCGAGCAGTCAAAAACCTGCAATCAAATGAACACATATTGCAATTCAAGATACAAAGGAGGGCAGCAGCAGTTAATCCAGAGCTTAGGGTCTGCGCTTTGAGGCTGTTTCAACGAGCTGAAGCAAGCAAAATCACAGTTGAAATCACCTAGATAGGCCTGTACATGATGGGGCGAATCAGACGTCCCAGTCGCAGTTTTCCATCTACTCTGTAAAGTTGGCCCGGCCTCTCACGTGATCATACATGATCAGCATCATCCGCACCCATCTGGAAACGAAAGCGTTTGGCAATGGATTCTTGAACAAGGTGGCATAACCGCATCACAAATTTGCCAGCTACCTCTAACAAGAAGGCTGGCAACCACATACGACTCACCACAGACATGTTACAAATATTCACAAGGGAGAAGGTCCACCCAACAACTCTGACGCGATGCTGTTAACGAATGAATTGAGAAATGATTCCCGGAGAGTGTTAGTTGAGGCGATGTTGGATGGAACTTTTGACGAATCTGTAGTGGTTCACAACTTCACTGCACAAATCATCTGATGGCTCCGTGGAAGATCCTGTGTCATTGTCCTCTGTCAAGGATCGAAAGGAAGTCGGAATTCGAGGAACTCCCTGCGCGTAGAACGAAATGTCCACGCGTCGTAAGGACACACAGGACGAAATCCTAGACAGACAATTGTCTGGTACCATGATCATGCTAAGACTCGAGCATCAGCAAGGGAGCTTAAATCCGCCGCAAACTGGGGCATGAGGTACCTGTCCGGTATGCGTGTTGGTGGACCCATCTTGGCCTCCACCGTCTCAAAAACCGGATCTGCCATGTAATGCATGGCCGGACTCCTACCCAATATCAAGCCAGAGCCAACGGGACTTGAACAAAACAGTTCTGAAAGCATGGTTCCAACAACCTGCACTGAAATTCTGAATCAGCAAAGGTGATTCACGAAGAGGCAGCATTCAAACGTCTTGAAAGCAATTTTGTCGACACTCGAGCTTGACGCTGCTACAAGTTCCACCTGCGTCAGTCGCTGGACAAATTTCTGAAAAGAGGCATGAAGTCTGTCCACGTCATGTTGCAAGCGAAAAAATTGTTGCGGAGCTGAATCTGATCCGGTCGGAGTCCTTGGATCATCACTTGATCATCACCAGAAAGTGATTGTATTGAGCGGCTGTCAACGGTGCTGTGGATGATGCTCCATTCTCCGCGGAACCAGTAGCTCAGGCAGCATTGTCCTGACTGCGAGATTGGAATCCACCATTGGGCCTTCATGATTGGAGGAGCCGGACATGATTCTAGCTACCGGTCACACCTGAGAAACCTATCACAAAGCAGAGACCAACAAAAAAAAGTTCCCAAACTTTCATTGTGGCAAGCTTTCAGCTCTCCGCCTGATTTCATCATGTAGTGTTGCTCGGTTGCTGCCACTTTCCACTCAAGCCTGCTCTGTCGTGGAGGGCAATCAAGCTTTCGGAGTCTTGCGAGAGGGTCGCGTGAGAATAATGGCCGATGGCAGAATTGCACGATCAGCAGAGGCATTGCTGGTCATTGATGTTAGGTTTCAGTCATGACCACACCTGCCCAATGCAGAAAACCCAATGCACAAACATGGTGGATTCCAGAACTCGCGCACAGGGGAAGGTAGGCTGAATGTCAATGTTTGACAATGCCATCATGCTAGCAAAGTACCTCACCTCAAACTCGGGTGGAGTTGGTACGTTGGATGCACGGCAGACTCCAACAAGTTGCTTCATGTTAGCACGAACAGCTGCTTTATCTACCGCAGGGTACCTGATGAGCTCATCCCAAGACTTCAATTGGACACGTTCTGCCCCACCAGCCGTACCTTCGACATTAGCTGATGTCATTGTATTGGTACCTGAGGCTGGCACCAGGACCATCCAGTACCTGCGTTTCCCTGTGCAAAGTTGTTGCTGTATCAATACTGGAATCTCCAACATATGCGCCTTTGTAATCAATAGCCATCTCACCAGCAGCTCTTGTACGCACATCAGATGAGGAAGCACTGACAGAAAGTTGAGTCTGCTCTTCACGGCGGATCTTCTTGTCCCTGCCTGACTCACCAAAAACCGGCCTTGCCTGCGAAGATTTGGGAACAGGCATCTTCTTGGGTTTCGGTGTCATTCCTTTGGACATGGTGAGTTTCAGTTCGGGGTTTGGGGCATCATGCGCTGGACCTTCTGGCCTCACTGATGAAGAACTGCCACGATTCAGTAGGATTCACGAACGAAGAACCGGTCGGTCTGGCTGCACCAAATGATTCCAGAGTACGATCCACATTCACCAAAGGAGGAACATCCGTTCAGGCCCAAGCAGGTAAAGGAACAGGCGGAGGAGCGTAAGCTTGCACACCTTCCGGCAACTCCCACTGAAGAATGTACTGGGGCCGACCTTTTGGCCTGGCTCCAAGGTCACCAGCTAGAGCATTCATCATTGAATTCCCAAAACATCAGTGCGTTCTCCAAGCAAAGCCTTTGGCAACGGTATTCCCAATTCCGGTCTTGCGGATTCAGAAGTGCCAGTGACAAAATCACCAGCTGAAGAAAACCGCAGGCGGTCCGACATGATAGTAGTGCAAACGAGCCTACACTGCAAAAGAAATCTGAACTGAGCCAAGTGGCAACCAATTCGACAGGCGCTTCTATTGGGCTGCTAAGGTTTACATGCAGCTCTGAGGTCTTTTGAGCGACTTTCGGAGTCCCACCTCGGACTCCTGCGCGTGACCAGGATATTCCCCCAATCCATCGTTCACATAGTGTCTTTACGACTCCACAACCCTTTCGACACCTGCAGGGGTTACACATCTACGTCTTCCCCGCAAGCATCGAAATGCAAGACAGGGTTAACCAGGGTGACAGTCCACGTCTTTTTGGCCCCGCCCAAAACAAGCTGGGGGCGATCCCGGTTTCTGTAACTGTAACTGAGGCACACAACGCCCTTGGCAGTTCCCTCGCGGGAAAAGTGCCGTTGGCAACAAGGCCACACACGGATAAAGAATATAACGATTGGCTTCCCATCTCATCGGAGATCTTATCTAGGAGGACCCCAACATGATCCTGACATCAAAAAGTCGTGACCTGTCATGTAATGTTCTGTTGTTCAACATTGACATGTACTCCTTCCAAATGGTCATGCATCCACATGTCTGCAATCGCTCCACAGGAAAACCGGCTTCGGAAAACTTCACTCTGTACAAGCAAGTACGCCAAGCTGATCAGACCCGGTACCCCATGACTGTGGTAGCTTCGTTGGGTGCGGTCCCAGCCATGCCGCACTCCCCTGCCCTTGAAATGTTATAAGTCATTGCCTGCGGCTTCATGTCCATGCAGCAAGCCTATGTGAAAAGATCAAACACTAACGGTGAGGTTCATGAGGTTCCAAAAACCCTTAGTTTAAAATCAGGGCGTACACACACACACAGTCATACTCTCTTTCTATGTGTGGTTATGCGACGCAGCACAGGGAGCGGCAAAGCAAGGGAAGATGGTGTGCTTGAGGTGCGGCGGTGACATCGAGTATTTGCCGTGCTCTCATGTGCCGCTCTCAGCGAAACAGCTTCAAAAGTGCAAGCAAAAGCTACACTAGTGACACCAGCGGTGTTAGCCTACCAGGTCGGTCACATCTTTCGCACGCCTGCATACTGGAAAGGCCGGGATGGGCCTGCTAGCTACGCTTGTGTAGCGTAGGGAACTGCACTGAGTTTGATTCAAAGGGCAATGGCGTGAACATGTAGCATCAAGATCTTTGGTTATGAAAGCGCGTGAATTTTACAACTGGCAGAATTCAGCCGAGACGAGCGTCGCCAACCACAGCCTTGTCGATTGTGGCGTGAACTTGTGGACCCATGGTTCTTGTTCCATGGGATGTTGGTTGACACCATTAAATCTGGAAAGCACGCAGGTGAAAAGCATTGCCATGTTGTGCGCATGTCATGCTGGCAGGATGACACTGTTCTTGGCTGTGGTTTTCCGAGCCGAGCAATTGCTGGGAAAGATGAGCGCTTGAAGTGCTGTGGTTTCCCTGAGAGCAGCCTCCATGACGTCATTGATTTGGAATCTCGTTAAGCTGACCAGCAGTGCAGCTTTGTCGATTGCGGTGTGAACTTGTGGATCAATGAATGCGATCCAACTCCAATTGGACTCCATGCTGGTTCTTGTTCCATGGGATGTTGGTAGAAACCGTGGAATCTGGGAAGCACGCAGGTGAAAAGCGTTGCCATGTTGTGCGCATGTCCTGC